GATCTGCACCCCAGCCCGGCGGTTACTGCGCTGCCTCCTGGTCCCTCCTGGCTTGTCCCTTCCGTGGCTGGCCTTGTGCACCCGCTGTTCCCTCTGTCTGGGGTGCTCTTCCCCCACCTCGTGTCCATATGGCGCATTCCCTCAGCTCCTTTCTCCCAGTGTCCCCTTCTCACTGAGGTCTTCTCTGACCACTCTATCATCTGTCTATCTATCACAATTCCAAACATGGAACACAGACATTGAGAGTCCCCTTGAATTCAGTTCGGGGTCTATAACCTCGATTTTGTTTTGTCTATGCAGAGGTAAACATTATACATACATATGTAACCATTTAATGGAAATGAGATCATAACCTACTTTTTAAAAGGGATTGATTTCGGACATCTTTCCATATCAATATGTAAACATCTATGTCATTGCTTTTCACAGCTGCAAAATATTTCACTGTGTGAATAGTCTAAAATTGGTCCCTCCATATTGATGGAGATTTGGGTTGCTGAGAGCGAATGAAAGTATGACACCGTGGCAGATCAAAGTGACAGTTTTATTCCAGAAGACAGTAATGCTGGAAGGAGAGAGCTAAGTGAATCGACCTGTGGCCGTGGGAGCTCCCGTGGGACCAGGTGAGAATGTCCCACCCTGCCACACGATGTCTGGGCTTTTATATCCTAGAGACTCCTTAGTGAGTCAGGGGCTGTTTTAAGAACCAGATGCAGCCATCAGACAGCAGAAGTTCTTATTAATGAATATGCTCCCGTCCTTGACCCCTCATCCAACCCGAGCCATGGCCCACTCAAGTCTTGTCCTTTGATGGTTGGTGAACATACTGGGGGCCTTGCTGGTTTATGTTAGGGCCTCCATACACTTCAATTGCTCTCAGTTTTTCACAGTAACAACTGTTGTACCAAGAGTACCTCTTCGTTCACTTGTCTATTTCCTCGGGATGACTTCCTAGAAATAACTTTGCTAGGTCCAAATGCATGCATGTTTTGACATTTCGGTATCCGCTAGAGTTATTAAAGGAGCAAAACGGAGAGGCGGAAATAGCTGCTGAGTCATAAGGGAATTTAGTTGCTGCTCAGGTGTCATTTCTAACCATTGGAGAAGAGGTGGGTTATTGAATAAATGGTATTGGAGCAATGGGTTAGCCATTTGCCACAAAATAACCTCACTCATTATGCAAAAATAAATTCCAGCTGAAGCCAAGATTTAAACGTTTTCAAAAAGGAGAATTTTTATATGATCTTGATAAGGGGGAGGCCTTTCTAAGCACAGCACAAAAGTTAGAAATCATTCAGTAGAAGACTGATAAATTTGACTCCAGAGAAAATAAAATTTCCTATGGAGTCAAATGCCATAAAGTCAAATGTCAATCAACAAATGTGGGTGGAAGGGGTGTGGGTCACCTCTGGGCGGAAGCTGCATGTGATTCACCACTTCCGCTTCCCTCCTGCTTTGGTGGATTCAGCAAAGTTCTAGATGAAGGTGGCTTCTTCAGTCTGAAGCAGGGATCGAGAGCAAAGCCTGCGGTGGACATGCAGTGTGAGAGAGAAACAAGCCTTTGTCATTTGAAGCACTGAGATTTGGGGGTTGTGCGTAAGTGAAGCAGAACCTAGCCTATGCTGATGGATTCCCCAAGCGATGCTGGTGGGACTATATCAGCATCAAACATTCACGTGCCTTTTATATAGAAATTCCACTTCTGGAAATATATGAAACAGAGAGGCTCACGCATGTGCAAAGAGGCATGGATGAGGCGAGGCACTGCTCCTTTGTTTGTAACAGCAAAAGGCAGAAAACAATCGGCACACCCATCAGTCAGAGATTGGAACATACATAGAACAGAACCGTCTGCCACCAGAGAAATGACCAAGCAGACGGAGATGCACCGACATAGTCGTAACCCGCAGATCAGGGCTGGAGTAAGACGAGAGAGACCCCAGGATCGAAAAAGACTAAGAGGCCCCTCTCCACCTTGCCCATGTAAACAAAAAGTTAAAAATGAGCCATAAATATTAACATGTTAAATGTTTAAAAGTATTTTTATAAAAACATATCTGAAAAGTGACACAATAAATGGGTATACTAACTCGTTCCCAAGGGCTACAGTAACAAATTACAAGGAAAAACCTTTGGTGTTTTGAAACAACAGAAATATATTCTCTCACAGTTCTGGAGGCCAGAAATCTGGAATCAAGCCCGTGCTCCCTCTGCAGCCTCTCGAGAAGAATCCCTTCCTGCCCCTCGCAGCCTCTGGTGGGTCCTGGCTTTCCTTGGTTTATGCATCATTCCCATCTGTACCTACATCTTCACACGGTCCTCTTCCCTGTGTCCCTCTGTGTCTTAAATCTCCCTCCCTTTTCTCTTCTAACACCAGTCATTGGATGTAGGGCCCATCCTAAACCCAGACGATCTCATCAGGAGATCCTTAGCTTAATCACATCTGCAGAGACCTTCCTTCCAAATAAGGTCACAGTCACAAGTACCAGGGGTGAGGAGTGGACAGATCTTTTGGGGGGGGGGGACACTGTTCGACCCACTACAATGGGTAACAGGGGTTGCCCCTGGGAAGGTGGAGGGGGACAGTTAGGAATGGGAGGGAGATAAACTTTTCACTGTATATACTTTTGAACTACTCACATTAAAAAAAAAAAACATTTTCCTGTAAAAGTCTTTTTAAACGAACATACACACAAAAAGGATGGGTCCCTCCCCAAAAAGAGTGTGCCCGTTCGAAATGTTGACACTGCTAAATTGGCCTAATGTACACTCATGGCAATAGGGGCTGCAGACTCCAAGTTTTCTGAGGTTGGGGAAGTACAGGGCGTAAATCTATCGTTCAGACTGTGAGTGGGAGTCAAGGGGAGAGGGCCATTTTGAGGGAAGGGGTTTGGGGGGTGGAGAAGCCTTGAGAAATCTGATGTGGTGAAGAGGAAGAATAACAGGAGATGAGGGATTTGGCGGTAAGAGGGGGAGACGAGATGGTGGACGCAGATCCCTGAGGAAGCCTGACTGGGGCAGGGGAGGGTCCTCTGTGGACAGGAAGATGGTCCCTTCTGCCCTAAAAGAGAAAGGAAGGAAGGAGGAGGGAAGGGTGGGTGTTGGCCCAGGAAGAACTCGGAGGGAAAGACCTGGAAGAGGCTCTGTCTTACCCTGGCCCCTGCATCTTTGCATCTCTGGTGGTGGTGGTGATGGTGGGTAGGCTGGTTGTCAGCGGGTCTGAGCAAAGGGGGGTGCATCTGAGAAGAGGGAGGAGTTGACACCACTGCTTTGGGCAACTCTTGGGGGAGGGTAATTAACAAGGGACAAAAGCCCTGCCAAGTGGCAGGAAGCCAGGGTGGGGCTGCCGCCTCAAAGAGTGTAGTGGAGGATGCGGGATGAGAAGGGACTGCCCTCGGGGGGTCCGTCTGTTGCAAAGTCCAAGGTGCCTGCGGGGCTTCCTTGGTCCCCCACCTCCATCCAAACACACCCACTGCACACTCGACAGTGCCCCCGCCTTTCTCAGCCTGTTGACATCGTGTCCCTCTGTGCACGTGCTTGATCATCTGCTGATAGGTGAGACCCCAGGGTCCCCGAGGGGAGCATCAGGGAAACCTTGCTCCCACCTCCCAAAAGAGGAGGTCTTTGATGAGGAAGCGGCCAAAAGCAGGTTTCAAATACAATTCTCTTTACAGGCGACAGGAAAGGGAGCAACCGCTGCCTGCTGAGAGCCTCGAGCTACCTCTCTCAGCAAAAAATTAATGAGCTCCTACTCAGTGGCAGGGATGGTGGGATATTCCAGGGGAGAACAAAGTGGAGGAGACCCTGACCTTGTGGAGGTCGCTGTCAGCCCACTGGCTGCACAGTCTTTGTTCAATTGGCCCTGGCCTCCGGTGTGAGGTGTCTGCAAACAAGGTGGAAAGGGCATTGACTTTGGAGTCCAGTGACCCAGGCTCAGAACAAGTCATTTTCACTAGAACCCGCTAATCAGCTGCAAAGTGGGAGCAGGAAGCCTACAGTTTCTACACCGTGTGGCCCTTCTGGGAGGATGCCTGGCTTTGTGTGACATATCAACCCCGAGGCCTGGGGCTGCTGGCCTCCACATCCTCCCGCAGGCAGCAGCTGCTCACCAGACCCTCGTCCAGTCATGCTCTTGGCCATGGTGTGTAAATAGAATCTGCAAACCGAATCGTTTGGAACACTGAGCTTGTGCTACAGTGGAATTCTTTTTTTTTTTTTTCTAGATTTTTTTTTTTGATGTGGACCATTTTAAAAGTCTTTATTGAATTTGTTACAATATTGCTTCTGTTTTATGTTTTGGTTTTTTGGCCGCAGGGCATGTGGGATCTTAGCTCCCCGAACAAGGATCGAACCCACACCCCCTGCACTGGAAGGCGAAGTCTTAACCACTGGGCCGCCAGGGAGGTCCCTACAATGGAATTCTTGAATGTACACGTATGATATCTCTGCAGATTAAAACCAGAAATATTTGTAGAATAAATCCCTTGAAATGTTTGATTAGTGCTGGCTGGAAGTCAAAAGCAACAGGACTTCAAGGAGTGGCTAGTTGGTGAGGTTGGGTGTGCCGGGTGCATACGGGGCAGAGGCCCGAGAGGGGTCGGGTCTGAGTTTAGAAGGATGGCACGCTCAGACCTGCGGAAAGACTTGGGGGCTGGGGGCAGCGAGGGGTCCGCTGTCACTGGCGGCGGCGGCGAGGAGGAGGACCCGATGGAGTGGTTTAACATCGTTCGGGGGGTAGGCGAGGGGGCTGGCTGGCCAGTGCCAAGGCAGAGCCCAGAAACGCTCGACGAGGTGGGCTCAGCCGAACTTGGTGCCTGGCACAGCTCGCAGGTCTCGGGTTGAGGGGCGGGGAGAAGGCGTCTCGGGAGCGCGGGAACAGCTTTCCAGCCCAATTAAGATTTGGGATTTTGTCCTCTCTCTGAGCGTAATCTGACGCCGTTTGCGGGTGGGGATGGGGAAGGGGAGGGGGAGCGAGGCCGAAACCCGATCCTTCAGTCCGGGGGCTCCGTTAATATTTAATCAGGTAGGATCATCCGATAGGGCTCAGGTGGCGTGATCTCCCGGACCCTGGGCGTCGCGCACCCACACCCCGGAAGGTTTCCGCCGCGGCGTCGAGGCGCGCGCGGCTGCAGGCGGGCTCAGGCTCAGGTCGGGTCCGAGCCAGGAGGGGCGAGCCAGGCAGTGAGACGGCCCGGGGCCGGCAAGCGTCTCCTCGGCGCAGCCCCGAACCGGGAGGCCTGGAGCCCGGCCCAGCGCGCGTCCCCGCCGGGGCCCGAGTCCCGTGCTCGCATCGGGCTCCCCGCCGCGAGGCACAGGCGCTGCGGGCCTGGCCCGCGCGCCGCCCCCGGGTCTCCCCGCCCGACGCAAACCTCTCCTCTCCCCGCGATGGGTACGGGCAGCTCCCGGCGGCCGTGGTGGCCGCCGCTGCTGCTGCTCCTGCTACTGCTCCTGGGACCCGCGGGCGCCCGCGCGCAGGAGGACGAAGACGGCGACTACGAGGAGCTGGTGCTCGCCTTCCGGTCGGAGGAGGACAGCTCGGCTGACACGGCCCAGAACGTGGCCACCGCCACCTTCCACCGCTGCGCAAAGGTGCGGACGCCGGGGTGGGAGGCGGGGGCGAACCCGCGCGGGGACCCGGGCGGTGGGCATATCCTCTCTGACCTCAGTGACACCCCACACCCCGGAAGGGAGGGGCTGGAGTGAAAGTCACTGGTTGGGGGGGCTTTGCTCACCCGAGGACGGGCTTGGCGCTGATCTTGGGGACTGCGGGCGCGGTGGTGGGGAGAACGGGCACGGCGGCTCTTTGGGGTGCGCTCTGCGGGGGAAAGGTGCACGGGGCTCGGAGACTGGTAGGCACCAGGTAGGACGAGCAGAGCACCTCCAGGATCGCCTGCTCAGATCCTGGACGTGCCTCACCACTGAGGCTCGGGTGGGTCAAGGCGCTAGTGCCCGAAACGTGCTTAGAACGGCCCCGGGCAGAGAGGAGATATTAGTATGCGTCCTGACGCGGATCGGGAAATCTGGGTAGTGCAGAGTGTGTGTGGGGAGTGTGGGAGGGGGTGGGCTTGGGGGTCTTGGGACGAGACGGCGCTACTGTGACAGGGGTGGAGCGGGAGAGAAGGCGAATGAATGATAGTGGCGGGAGCCAATTTCTTCATGACACAAAACTCACATTCTAGGATTGCATCTTTTTCAGCTGAAGAAAAGAACAAAACTGAAGGGGTGGGGACGGAGTTATTCTCCAGGCCCGTTGGGGTCCTTGGGCTCGTCTGGGAAGGGCTTGTTTGGTGCTCTCGGGAAAGGAGCCTGGTAGCCGCAGCCCACTCAAACGCCGCCCAGAGTGGGTGGGGCGAGTTTCCTGAAGATCAAGGCCAGCGCCTGGCCGCTGGGCTATGGGAGCTCCTGCCCAGGGTTGGGACTGCTGTTTCCCTCCAATTATAACCTTCCCAGGGCTCAACTGAGGTCCTGTTACCGGGCTTGGAGTCAGCTCTGGGGTTGAATCCTGGCTCCATCACTCACTAGCTGAGTGGTGCTTGGCAAGTCACTTAACCTCCGAGCCTCCATTTTCCTTATCTTTAAAAGGGAGGTGACAGTCCTTCCCGAGGGTTTGTTGTGAAGAGTCAGTGCTGGGCAGATGGAGGAATGAAGGGAAAGGGGCTCTGTTGCCCACATGAGTGACCTCCCCACCATGTGAGCCAATGAAGAGAGCACTGTAGGAGGTAGCTATTTACCTTGCTGCAGTGCGACCTCCCAGTCATGCCCTTTTTGCTCCAAACTGCAGCTCCTGGGACAGAGGGGAAGTTCTAGGCTAATGGACATCTGGCCTGCGCTTCTGCCCCAGCTCCCCTGCCTGAGTGTGCTGGGTGCAGAGGGGTGTCAGGCCCTCAGTGTTGCCTGTGTCCTGTGTTAGTGGCAGGAGGGGAGGGACCTCTCTTCTTCAGTCTGGCTCTCACAGAAGAGTGAAGTTTACTCAGCTCATAGCACCTTCTTCCTTGTTCCCTGAGCCTTTCACCGTCTAGAAGGATGTTGATGGGTTGTGACAAGGTTGAGAAAGGGCGTTTCAAGTCACTGCCCCCAAATAACTATTCTAGAAGTAGTAAATACCCCATCCTGAGAGGTGAGTAAGCAGAGGCCGGACAACCAATTAAAACAGGTGCTTGAGGGTACTTCTTCCCCAGCGGAAGTTTGGAGCAAGAACCTCCAGAAGTTCATTTATTCATTGCTTCAATGGATATTTTGTAGAGATTGAATTTGTAATGACAATATTTTTGGCAGGCAGAGAAAGATTTTAGACCAATCCTTTTATTTTATTCATGAGAAACTGAGACCCAGAGAGAGGGGTTTCACCCCCCTGATGCATTAGAACTAGGCTTCTAGGGCAAGTCTCCTTCCAGTGCACAAAGTGTCCTCCCAATTCATTAGGTTTTCATTTCGCTGAGGGCATTTTAGATGGGCCTTTGAAGCATAAATAAGAGTTTAAATAAAAGTGGCAGGGGAATTTTATTCTAGGTGAAGGGGGTAGCATGAACAATAGCTCAGACCTGGGAAAGCTAGAGGTGGAGAATAGGGAGCACATGTCCACAGTTCCTTATCTCCCTTCTGAAATGTAAAATGTTCTGAAACTCAAAAGGTTTCTTGTAATTTATTTTGTGGTAACCTGACCTGAACTGACATGAGGTTATTTATAAGTTATCCCACTGATGTAAATATTTATATTCCTATATTTTGCTGCATAGATTACAATATACTGCTCCAGACGCCTCTGAGCGCCCTGATTGCCTATTACTACCTTTCTAAAGTCCAAATAAGTTCTGAATCTTGAAACCCATTTGACCCTAAGACTTTGGATAAAGCGTTGTAGACTGTATTCTACTCTGGTGCACGTACAGAGATGTGGGAGATTAGGCTACGGAGGTAGGTTGCAGCGGGGACCAAGGGGCAGCATGGAGTTTGGACTTTGTCAGGCTATGGGGAGCCACTGAAGATTCTTGAGCACAGTTGTGTCTGTTTGAGAGCAGTGGGAGCAGATAAGAGCTAAGAGCAAACAGATCTGCTCCTGCAGACCATGGCCTTGAGTCTTTTATCCCATGTGAGAAGCGCTGCCTTTGCTCACTCTATCCTCCCTTCTGTTTGCTAGATGCTTTACACAACTATGTCTCTTAGCCTTCCCAGCAGGCCTGTGTCATAGGTATTATGTTCCCCACACCACAGAGGAGATATCTGAGGTTCAGAGAGGTTGAGTGACTTGCCCGTGGCCACATAGCCAGTAAATATTGAGGTTGGGATTCAGGCCATGGTTTTGGACTGCTTCCAGAGAGAGTCAGGGAGGTACTAGAACCGGGAGGAATTGATTATTTCAAATTGAGACACGGGGAAGGGAGGTGTAATTAAGAAGGTCTTCGGGAGGAGGTGGCCTTCAGGCAGGACCTCCAAGGGTGGCCAGGCCTTGGTCGGCCCCACAGAGAGCTAGGTGCAGGTGCAGACAAGAACCTGGTGTTGACTGTGGCCCATGGTTCCCGTTTTTGCCTGACTGTCAAGTATGAAAGTGTGGTATATGTTACGTTACTGCTAAGAGTTGGCTTCTATGTGGTTTGGGGGTCCTAATTTGGTGACTTCTCTTTATACTTCCTATACTCTATGGAGTTTCTTTTGCTGATGAAGCACTCACAGCACCCTTCTTCTTTTTTTAATGTCATCATGTCACTCCTCCTCACTGGGGGCCAGGATGCCTGGAGGTTGCCAGGCACCTACATGGTGGTGCTGAAGGAAGAGACCCACCGCTCGCAGACGGAGCGCACCGCCCGCCGCCTGCAGGCCCAGGCCGCCCACCGCGGCTACCTCACCAAGATCCTGCACGTCTTCCACGACCTTGTCCCCGGCTTCCTGGTGAAGATGAGCGGTGACCTGCTGGAGCTGGTGAGCTCCGTCTCTGGGCGGGCCACTTCCCGAAAGGGCTGGGCTGTCTCATGCATACAGGGCACTGTCCTGGGTGTGCCCATGGCTGACCGTCGGGAGGCAGCAAGTGTTCACAGAGCGCTTACTGAGTACCAAGCATAGTGGCTCCTGGCCTTTGGTACAGGATGCCCTTCAAGCCTGGCCATACCTCAATGGTACTTCATCCTCATCTGAGAGATGAGGAGACCAAGGTTCAGAAGGGACCACACAGACAGCCAGAGGCAGAGCTGGGATCAGACCCAGTGGTCTGTCTTCTAGCTGTCTTTGTGTTGGTGAACTTGCTGCCTATGAGAACCCTACAGGAACAAGGCCCCATGACATTAGTGGGGCCAGAGTCATTTTATTAAAACATGACTCAAGGATCCAAAATTCCTTTGAAACTGATGCTATTCAGAAGGTTCCTCCTGTAGGACAGGGAGGCTGTTCCCCCTCCAGCCCGACCCTGATGCCACATCTTTGGTGCAGGGGCAGAACAGACATGGGTAGTTGAGGACTTCTGGCCTCCCTTCTCCTCATCCTGGCCCTAGTGCTTTAAATGCATATCTTAAAAACCTTTCTTGGTGAGGTTGCCTGCGAAAGGGGGCTCCGCTTGAAGCGAGTTGATGGATGTAAGATTTGTAGCTTTAATAAAAAGGCAGAAGAGAATTTGGCAAATGCACCTTTAAAAACAAAACAAAACAAAAAACAACCCTTTCCTTGTTTTAGCCTCTGCTCCCTTCCTCCCAACACGCCCCCCTTCCCTGTCCTCCTAACTTGATGAGAACACATGATGAGAACACATGGTTCCCATTTTCATACTGATTCTCCGCGTGGCTGGGGTGCTTCATAGCCTCCTGCAGACACTGAGACCCAGAACGGGACAGGGTCTTGCCTGAGGTCACACAACACATAACCGGCAAAACGAGAATCTAGGCCCAGGCCTCCTTGCTCCACTGTACTACTACTGCATAGTTTCATTCCATCCAGCATACGGTGGCTGAACAACTACAGTGTGTTAAGTCCTGTGGGGACAATGACATGGATTAGACAGGGTCCAATCCCTTAGTCTAATAGCGGAAACATCAAGTTAATGCCTTCAATCAGTCTGCTCATCCCATATTTAATGAGCACCTACTATGTGCTACAGACATGAGGATGGACCACCAGCCCTTTCCCTTGTGCTTACAGTTCAGAAAGAGAGACTGAGAAGTGATGGCCAGTCAGTTAAATGGGGGATGATATGCCCAGCACAGCACGGGGGAAGGAATCAGATGCCCACAGAGCCAGATGGCACGCATGAGCCCCGAAGGCCAGGCAGCTTCTCAGAGGGGAGACACTGCTGATCTGCAGGCCACAGACATGTGCACTCAAGAGCTGGGCTTTGGCATCGCGCCAGCCTGGGGTCACGTACCCTTACTAGTTTGTCTAACCTTGGGCAATTTTCTTCACCCCCTGAGTCTCAGTCCCCAACCTGTAAGCTGGCATGAAAATAGGAACGGTTCTTGAAGGACTAAATGAGATCGTCAAGTATTTAAGCAGATGCTAAGCACAGAAACTCACGGAGGTGTGGACAGGTTAAGGAAGCCCACAGGGACACTGAGGCGCCCAGGGATGAGTTTTCCTGACAAGTTGATGGGCGAGGAGAGGGAATAGTGTCTTCTCTGCCAGGTGGGAGCTGGAGCTGTGGAGCAGGGGCTGCCCCGGGGGAGCCGTGGTCACCGAAGGATGCAGCCACCGTGGGAACCTTGCACCAAAACAAAGAGGGAGTGAAGACACCCTCTCATCCCCCAAAACTCCTTCTGGGCCTCCCTCTGGCTGATCCCAACCAGAAGTCACTGCAAGGAGGCCTGGGTGCTGCAGTCTGCAGGGTCAGCCTCCCCATGCCTTGCACGGTGGAGAAGGGTGGGAACCGGTCTTGGGGAAACAGAATGGCCAGTGAGGGCATCATGATCTGGGCATGGAGTCCAGGTCCAGCCTTCCCCGGGGCCTGGGCACTGCCTGGCTCCCCAGGTGGCATGTCAAATTCAGAATCCTTCCTAAAAGGCATCCTCTGTGCTGGCGGGTGCTGGGCTCCCCAACCTGAGCGAGGAAACCCCACACCAGGAGGGGACAGGTATGGGACTGGCGTGTGACCCGGGACAGGCTTGATCAAGTAGGTGAAGGGCTGTGGCTACGGCTGCTGTCAGCCAAATGGCTTTTGAAGCCGAGCCCCACCTCTCTGCCTTCTGCAGGCCCTGACGTTGCCCCACGTCCAGTACATCGAGGAGGACTCCTTCGTCTTTGCCCAGAGTATCCCGTGGAACTTAGAGCGGATTCTCCCTGCGCGGCGCCAGGCGGATGAACACCACGCTCCTAGTAAGGGCCCCAAGCTCCCTCCGCCTCTTCATCCCCGCGGAGGCCACGTGCCGCTCTCTCCTCCCTGTCTACGGTCCTCATCTCCCAGGGGCGTTAGAGCTCAGTACACTCTGCTGACCCCTTTTCTGTCCCATTCCACCCAATCCAGCCCCCATGCCCTGCCTTCCTTCTGCCCCAGGTACGATGCAGAAGTCTGTTTCTTTAAATGAGCCCCTCTCCCACCTTCTAAAAGTTCACGTTTGCCTCTTCTTGCCATTTGGCCCATCAGGCTGCACTCAGGTGGGGAGAGGGTAAACCTGACCTTGACACCCCCTAAGGCCCACAGGTCTGGGTGATCCCAGTGCCTTGAGGACAGGATTGGACCCCATAACGGGACAGATAAGCCCTGTTTGCCACGCCCCCAGCTGGTCTCTGGTGTCCTGCCTTGCCCTGCGCCTCCCTTCAGCATCGCTAGGCTTCCTGGGGTTCCCTGCGTGGGCTACGCTGTGTGTCCCCTCCAGGCCTCTCCCCCGACTCTTCCCTCTGCCTGGGGTGGCCTGGCCAGGAGGAAGGAGGCCAAGGAAAGTGGCCTGGGTTTGGGCAGGGCCTTGTGGGGGGTGGAGGTGACATTTATTGAGCTGGGGAAGAAGGGAAGGACACCTGGTTTGGGGAGATCAGGGGTTTTGGCTGGCCCGTGTTCAGCCTGAGAAGCCCGCACGCAGCATGAGGTCTGGAGCTCAGCGGAAAGACGATGCAGGGATGCTCCAGGACTCAGCCAGACCTGGGGCGCGTCCAGCCTCCGCCCTTTACTGGCTCACGTGGGGTCGGAGCCTCCCCTTCCTCGGCTGTGAAAGGGGCACAGTAACCCCATCCTGTCCTCACAGGGTGTTGTGAGGCTGTTGATGTACAAATGCTTCGGGAACTGAAAGCCTAGGCGGGTTCTGAGTTGCTGTCATCGTGACAGACGGTAGACCTGGGGCATCCCAGGGCTCGCGGCCAGGGTGGGAGATGGGTAGGAAGTGTGGAGCAACAACCCCAGGGTTGGCAGCGGCAGAGGTGCGGGGCCTGGTCAGGCAGGGTGTGCTGACCGGTCTGGGCAGCCTGTGGCCAGGGAGAGGGTGCCCTTTGCAGGAAGAGCCTGCCTTTCCCCACCCCAGGCTGCTCCTTTCTAGGCAGAGACCCTAGAGACCCCACCTTCCACATCTGCGACTCAGGGACCTCCTGGAGCCGGCTAGTACGGGGAATGGGGAGGGGATGCTGTGCAGGGGGTTCCGGGGGACACCAAGCCAAGCAGGAGAGAGAGATGGCTACAGCCCCTCAATTAGTTCCCTAGGGCTGCCCTAACGAAGTACCACACACCCGGTGGCTTAAAGCAATAGAAATGTACTCTCCAGTCGGAAGTAAAAGTGTCCGTGGGCCAAGCTCCTCCCAAAGGCTCTAGGGGAGCACCCTCCCTCGCCCCTTCCAGCTTCTGACAAGTTGATGGGCAAAGAGAAGGAATAGTGTCTTCTCTGCCAGGTGGGAGCTGGAGCTGTGGAGCAGGGGCTGCCCCGGGGGAGCCGTGGTCCAGCAGCCCCTTCCAGCTTCTGGTGGCCGCAGCGTTCCTCAGCTATGGCTGCATCACTCCTGTCCATGCCTCCTTCATAGGATCTTCTCTGTGTATCTCTCCTCTTCTGTTTTTTTATGAGGACACATCAATGGATTTAAGGCCCATCGGGAAATCCAAGATGATTTCGTTTGGAGGTCATTAACAATCACGTCTGCAAAGCCCCTTTGGCCAAATAAGGTCATGATCATAGGTCCTAGGGGTTAGAATGTGGACATACGTTTTCTGGGATGACCGTTGGACCCACTGCCCTCCCCCAGGCCAGAAGCAGACGTGCGATCCTTTCCTTCCCCACTGGGATGCCCACGGATTGCCTTACCCTCCTCCTGCGCCCAGTGGCTGTGAGAGGTGGGGGGGATGGAAGGCAGGAACATGGAGTCCATCAGGAGTCACAGAAGGGCTTGGCTGGATGAGGCCCCCCGGGGGCTGTTGGGTCGGAGTGGGGCGGAGTGGGCACCATGCAGATGAGTGGAGAGTGGCGCACCCGGCCAGGAGCAGACCCTTCCTTCACAGAGAGGCCACCTGGCAAAGGGCTGACGAGCACAGGCTCTGGAGCCAACTGCCATGCGCAAACCCAGACTTCAGCATTTTCAAGCTGTGTGAGCTTGAATGAGCCTCAGGTTCCTCTGCAAAAACGGGAGGTGATGACAGTATGTGGGGGGCTGTGTTGGGGTTAATGCTGTTTATGCTGTAGCCAGCCTCCAGCCGTGTCTGGTATAGAGTGAGAGTGCTGTCATTTCAGCCCTCCCCCTCCCCTCCTCTCCTTCCATGCCACAGTGAGTTCTCGAGTAGCCACTCTGCTCCAGACACTGTGCTAGGTGCTGGGGACACAAAGACCAACAAGATGGACCTGGTCTCTGCCCGCGCCCCCCCCCCCCCCTCCGCCCAGAGCTTCTAGTGCATGAAGGCTAATCCTTTGCTTACACAGATAGCTACATGACACCAGGTAGTCTGGATGGGGTAGGAGCACGAAGGAGTCTGGACAGCTGTGAGCATGGAGTCAGGAAGGGCTTCCTGGAGGAAGTGGCACTCAGCCAAGCCCCGCAGCGGGTATCATCAGCCCCACCAAGGGGAGCACGTCCAAGCGGAGAAACAAACAAGGACAGAGGCCCTGAGGCAGGAAGGGGTGTGGCCTGCGGGGAAGAGGCAAGAGGGTCAGGGTCAGGGGCCTCCTGGGCAGAGATGAGAAGGAGAACTTGGCTGCCTTCCGAGCTTCTCAGGCGTGGCAGGGGCTGTCCTGTGGGAGAGAGAAAGCTCCCTGCTCTGGAGGGGTGCAGGCAGGACTGGGCGCCCGCCTGCCAGAGGCCGCAGAGCTCCCTGCACTGATTCAGAGGCTGTAAGAGGCCACTCGCAGGTCCCTTTGCCCTTAGGGATAACTCCTCTTGAGGCCGCTTTTCCCCTCTGGAGAATCTGAACTGACCCAACTAGAAATGATGAAGTGTAGGTGGTAGGCTTTTGGTGAACTTCCAATACTGCTGTTTTCTCTGAGGCTGTAACTTGTGTCAGTTGGAACCAGCCACCGTTGAGCCGTCCTGGCACCTGGTAGAGTGGAGAAAGCATGGGCTTGGAGCCAGGAGGCCCAGGTCCGCGCATCCTCCTTGAGCCTCGGTTTCCTCTCTGTGAAATGAGCTGACCTGCTCAGTTGGCCATACAGGCCTGTTATTCTCCTTTTACTTGTCAAATCCTGTTCTGTCTTTAACTTCTGTGGCCTCAGGTTTGGGGAGCTGTGAAAAATTTTAAGTAGGGGCTTGGCATAGTTTTTTCCATTGTATTTATTAGTTTCGAGTGTTCATATTGTTATTTCATATTAATATTAATATTATGGAGCCAGACGACTTGGTTCTCTTGCTGGTTCCACCATCACCAGCTATGTGACCTTGGACAGTTACTTACCCTCTCTGTGCCTCACATTCCTTGTTTGTGATATAAAGATATAAAAGTATGTACCTGGAGAGGATTTTCTGAGTTGATGTATGTAAGGTGCTTAGAGCAGTGCCTGAGACATGGTAAACAATTTATATGTGTTAACTATTACGTTAACCTCACGGTTATTCTTTCCTTTCGAACAAACCTCACCTTGGAAAGCTGGAGGTGGCCTGGTGGAGGTATATTTCTTAGACACCAGTATCCAAAGTGGCCACCGGGAAATTGAGGGCAGGGTGGTAGTCACTGACTTCGAGAACGTGCCCGAAGAGGATGGGACACGCTTCCACAGACAGGTGAGCATGGCCCTCATCCCCGACCTGGAGTTGGTGCCACCCCCGGAGTGCCACAGTTGCACCCCCCGCTGGCCTCCGCAGCTGTCACTGCCCCTGCCGTCAGTTGTGGGTGGGGACGTCTGTCCGGTCACTCCCTGATATTATTACAGGGTGGTTGAGTTTTCTCACTCGGGTCTTGTATTGGTCGAGCAGGCGAACAAGTGTGACAGCCACGGCACCCACTTGGCAGGGGTGGTCAGTGGCCGGGATGCTGGCGTGGCCAAGGGCGCCAGCCTGCGCAGCCTGCGTGTTCTCAACTGCCAAGGGAAGGGCACGGTGAGCAGCACACTCACAGGTGAGTGACGGCTCCACACGTGCTGGTCTCTGCATCCAGACCTGGCACGGGACGGGGCTTCAGCCTAGAGAGAACTGACTCCTGACCGAGGAGACTGAGGCAGCCTCTGCCCCAGAGGCAGAGTCCCAGAGTGCCAGAGTGGGCAGGGCCCCCAGGGGGCATGAGTGCCGATGGAGAAACTGAGGCCCAGAGAGGGGCAGGGCTCAGCCCAGGCAGGTCCTGCAGCTTGGACCCCTAGTCAGTGGTCTTTCTACAGTTTCACACTGCTCCCCCTTCCAGATCTTTTAAAATAGTTGCGTCTTTTGCCATGTTACTTTAGATTTGGATGTACCCTCGAGGTGATCTAAACAAACTTTCCCCATCTTCTGCTTAACACTGGGGGACTCACTCCTTCTCATGAATGATTGGAGCCCTGGTTGGGTAGACCTGGTAGAGGAACTGGCAGGAGACTTTTTCCAGACTCTTGCAGGTTTCTCCATCCAGTCACCTCTGGCAAAGTCCAGCTTAGAGCTAGGACCCTGGGAGGCCTGTGGACAGAGAAGAGGCTGGGAATTCTCACTTACTGAGTCCCTCCTGTGGCCAGACCTTGAGCAAAGGACTTTGTACTCCATACCCTGAGGGTGGTATTGTGAGCCTGTTAAACAGTTGAGAAAATCAGCCCAGAGAGGCAAAGTGACTTGCCCAGGGTCACACAGCCAGAGCCAGTGGCCTCGCTGGGGAAGGTGCTGGCTCTGAGTTTGACCCACTGCAAGCGCCCAGACCCCTGTGTCAGACGCTGGCCTCTGAGCTGGCAGAGGTGGCCATAGGCCTTTTTGAGGGGCTGGGAAGGGCTGGTGGCGCCTGCCTTGTGCTTGGTGACTAAGCTCTGCCCTAATTCTTTGCAGTTTAGTGCACAGGTTTTTGTTTGTTTAATTAATTAATTTTTGGCTGCATTGGGTCTTCATTGCTGCGCGTGGCCTTTCTCTAGTTGCGGCGAGCGGGGACTACTCTTCGTTGCGGTGCGCGGGCTTCTCATTGTGGTGGCTTCTCTTGTTGCAGAGCATGGGCTCTAGGCGCGTGGGCTTCAGTAGTTGTGGTACTCTGGCTCAGTAGTTGTGGCTCGCAGGCTCAGTAGTTGTGGCTCGCAGGCTCTAGAGCACAGGCTCAGTAGGTGTGGCACGTGGGCTTAGTTACTCCGTGGCATATGGGATCTTCCCGGACCAGGGCTTGAACCTGTGTTCCCTGTATTGGCAGGAGGATTCTTAACCACTGTGCCACCAGGGAAGCCCTAGAGCACAGGTTTTGATGTTTGATTTTAAAGGCAAGAATCAATAATCCCCTGCCCTATCAGGTGACCCTTCCTTCCTGTCCCACCCCTTTATCCACTGACCTCAGCTCAGCAGGCCAATTCCCAAAGGTCAGTGTGCAGAGGAGGGGAGGCCTGCTTGTGCCCTGAAAGGCCTTCCACAGGCCTGGCGCCCTGGGGTCGGAGGGTTTTCCGGGGAAGAAGAAGTCCCCGCTTTGGGAAAGGCCCCTAGCACGTTACCTGGAGCAGAGCAGGGGCTCCACGAACAGTAGCTCTTACTTTCGTGGTCACCCCTGGTCTCCTCTGTAAGCAGATTGTTGAGGTAAAGTGTGTCAAGTCCGAGCACAGAAACATACATACAGTTAATGAATGGCAGCTGTAATCGTGCTTATTCCTCACCTCCACTCCTACTTCTGCTCTGCCCCTCCTGGTGTGAGGGGCAGCTGTCTCCTCCTAAGAGGAGCCTGGCTATGGGACCCCAACTCCCACCTCTGCTGCAGCCCTGGGGACCTCCCAAAGTTCCAGATCCAGAAGGTTCTGAGAGGTCAGCTGGCCACACCCCCATCTGACGGGGCAGGAGCCGGAGCCTGAGAGGAGAAGCTGTCAGCTCTGGGTCCCCTGGCACGTGAGGGCCAGAGCTGGTGTTAGAACCCAGGTCTCCACTGGGCCTGGGCTCCAGGCTGCACACTCGGCTCTGGGGCAGGGGAGTGCAGCCGGGGTCAAGGCATGACACCCCCCCAGAGGGGGCAGGGTTATCAAGTCCCCACCACCCCCCTCTAGCTCCAGGGCGAGGAGTCTTTTGATCCTTGACACAGTCCGAGCAGCAGTGCACCCTTTCACACAGGGGAGGGCAGGGTCCCACAGCTGCGAGTGGGCAGTGTGGACTCACTGGAGTGTGTGTGTGTCTGTGTGGTGGGGGAGGATTACTGTACACCAGCCCTCAGAGGATGGCAATGAGGCTTGTGAGGGTCAGAGGCAGGGCAAAGGGGGCCCTTCCTGTTCCTCTGAGAAGCTTACTTATCCTCTTGGTGCCTCAGTTTCCCGGAAAGGGAAAATAATGGTAAGGTTACTGTGAGGACTGTGTAAATTCCCATAGTCAGGCCCTTAGAAGGAGCCTGGTGCGTCTAAGTGTTTGGGAGTTGGCTGGTTTTATAAGTGCTGCTGTTGTGAACATGCTTCCCATGTGTATTAGTCAGGGTTGTCCAGAGACACAGAACCAACAGGATGTGTGTGTATACTTATATTTATAAATACATACGTATACCACATATGGGCGATTGAGCTTAAGGAACTGGCTCATATATTGTGGGGCTGGCTGAAATCTGCAGGGCAGGCTGGCAGGCTGGCAATTCTGGCAGGAGTTGATGCCGCAGTCTTGAGTCTGAAGGCAGTGTGCACACAGGTTTCCTTCCTCCTTGGGGGACCTCCATCTTTTCTCTCAAGGCCTTCAACTGATTGGACGAGGCCCACCCCCATTATGGAGGGTAATCTGCTTTACTCAAAGTACTATGTAAACATTAATCACATCCACAAAGTACTTTCACAGCAACACTTAGACCTATGTCTGAGCAAACACCCGTAGCCTCGCCAAGTCGACATGTAAAATTAACCCTTACGGGGGCCTCGGGGGCGGGGGTGGGGAGGGGGAGCGTGCCTCCTCATGGGTGACCTTGGCTTTGTCCTCTCAGGCCTGGAGTTTATTCGGAAGAGCCAGCTGGCCCAGCCGGCGGGCCGGTTGGTAGTGCTGCTGCCCCTGGCGGGTGGGTACAGCCCGGCCCTCAACGCCGCCTGCCAGCACCTGGCTGGGACCGGGGCAGTGCTGGTGGCCGCTGCCGGCAACTTCAGGGATGACGCCTGTCTCTATTCCCCGGCCTCAGCTCCCGAGGTGGGTGCTCCCGAAGGGAGGGGAAGGTGGCAGGGGGGCCCCTGGGGGCTTCATGGGGGGTGCTCCTGAACTGACCTGGCTTTGGAAGGACGTGTCAGAGACTGCCAGGGCCGACCTGGGCAGAGGAGGGCCTTGAACCTCCACCGTCCCAGTCTATGAACATCACCAACCTCAACTCTCCCCTCCCCCAGTGCAGCTCCAACCCCACGCCCTGGCCCCTCTCCCTCCGAATGTCTCGTGACTCCCCCGGCCCCTTCTCCCCAATCCCATCACCTCCGTCCATCTGCTGTCCCCTGGATTGACACCATAGCTCCCTCCGCTTTCTCCTGGCCTCCCTCTCCCAGTCCACTCGGTAAGGGCCCCCGCCCCTGAGGCCCCCTGAGGCCCTGCATTGGTGTGTCCCAGGGGAGCTACATGAGCACAGAGATGACGCTTCTCAGCTTGAGAGGTTGACCCAGTGGGTCCAACGCCCGTCCGTTCCTCTGACTAACATGCGAGGGCACCTACTGGCGGTGTGGGCACTGGGGGGACTAAGGGGAAGGAATCTCGTCCCACTTCAAAGATATCATAGTCTGGGGGGTGGGTGTTGGGGTCAGGGGGCAGGTGGGGGGCACACGTGTGAGCCTGACAGTGAAGGATAACCTTCCCTGGCAGCTGAATTTAAAATCACACAAAGCAGACAAAACCCAGCAGGTCTTTTCCACCTTGCCGGCTCTGCTTTCCTCCTTAGCATGTATAACCACCTAATGTGTTGCACTGTTTACTGTTTGTTTACTGTCTGGGTCCCTCCCTAGAATGGAAGCACCTCGGGGACTTCGGGAATGGTGCCTGGCATATGGTAGGGACAGAGGGCAGCGCCAGGGCCGGGTGGGGCAGAGAGTGCCAGAGCTCTGCCTGGAGAGTCAGATTTCCCTCAGGAGGGGATATTTGAATGGGCCAAACAGGTATACAGGAGTTGGCCAGCCCAGTTGGCAAGGTCTCAGTCTCCCTACATCCTCTCCTTGACTCCCCTCTCTGCCATCCACTCCCTCACCTCTCCAGGTCATTACTGTTGGGGCCACCAATGCCCAGGACCAGCCGGTGACCCTGGGGGTCCTGGGGACCAACTTTGGCCGCTGCGTGGACCTCTTTGCCCCAGGGGATGACATCATTGGTGCCTCCAGTGACTGCAGCACCTGCTTCACATCACAGAGTGGGACGTCACAGGCTGCCGCCCATGTGGCTGGTGAGTAGCTGCCCCACCGTCTCAGCCATCATGATGCTGACAGCCCCTTTGGCAGGCAGGGTCTGCACCAGGACCACGTGTGCCAGGCTCTGTGTTGGGTATGGGGGAGTAAAGACGAGTCAGACTGATGGTGCCCTCAAGGACGCTCAGTCTGATGGGGGAGGCAGGTGCACAAACGGAGTAGCCAGGGCTGTGTGGAAGGGAGAGGCGCCTGACCAGGCTAAAGGTCAGGGAAGACTTCCTGGAGGAGGGCCGTTTCATCTGGGGTTTGGTGGATGAATAAGAGTTTACCATTGCCCAGGCTCGGAGGTGCGAGAGCAGGATGTAAGTCTTACTCTGGCCATCTTTTAGCACGGGATTGCCGGTGGTTTAACTTCTAAAGAACAGCTTGGTGTGTCTGTGTGTGTGCGCACGCTCATGGGCGCACCAGGAGAGGAGTCCCAGGTCGGGAAGGAGGGCCAGGCCACCACCATCTCTCACCGCCTGCCCCACGACCAGGCATTGTGGCTAGGATGCTGACCGCCGAGCCGGAGCTCACCCTGGCTGAGCTGAGGCAGAGGCTGATCCGTTTCTCCGCCAAAGACGTCATCAATGAGGCCTGGTTCCCCGAGGACCAGCGGGTGCTGACCCCCAACCTGGTGGCTGCACTACCCGCCAGCACCTATGGAGCAGGTCAGCAGGACGGCAGGGCGGGCAGAATCCAGACTGGGGCTTGGGACGTCTCAGGGCATCTGTGTGGCCTGGGCAACCTTGTCCCTCCCCCATCTGTGGAGGGAGGATTCGGCCACCGGCTCCTAGACACGGGGAGATTGAGTAGGACGGGCTCCGAAGGGGCTTTGCAAGGGCTTTCGTGACCTGTTTTAATGGGAGAATGGATCACATTCCTTAAGGCCCCTCTCCCCCACCAGGAGCCAAAGATCTGGAGCCCTCTGTGAGCAGAGCCCTGACGGAGGCTCCCTCCCCAGCCACCCCTCCTCACCCCAGGGCCTCGTTGCAGGTGGGCAGCTGTTCTGCAGGACTGTGTGGTCGGCGCACTCGGGGCCCACGCGGATGGCCACGGCCGAGGCCCGCTGTGCTGCCCCTGAGGAGCTGCTGGGCTGCTCTAGCTTCTCCAGGAGCGGGAAGCGGCGGGGCGAGCGCATTGAGGTGACCTGTACCCTCCCGTCGGAGCGTGAAGTGGGGTTCTCACTTCCAGGCCCAGATCTGCCTGAGCCCCATCCTCCTCTGAACTCCAGCGTCCGTCTGCAAGTTAAAGCCGAACGGGGCATATCTCAGTCACACGGTTTGGGTGCTGCAGGAGGGAGGCACACGGAGGGTTCCCGGGAGACTCTGCAGGATGAGACTGGATGGATTCCCGTGCCCGCCTCGTGGGAAGGGAGGGCCGAGTGTGTGCCAGGGATTCACTGCCTCGGGGGAGGGGAGGGCTAGACGTATGCCAGGGATTCGCTGCCTCTGGACGCAGTGGTCTCCAGGGCCCTTTTCACTCAGATGTTCCACGGTTCTGGCAGTTGAGAAATCTCAAAGCAGCAGAAGAGGGGACTTGATGGGAAGGCTGCAGAGCCTGGCGGAGATGCCATCTGGCTGCAGGGTTTTGGTGGAAGGGCAGTGCCTAGGCCAGGAGGACAAGGGGCGGGCAGGCGTTTCTGTCTGGGAGCCGGTGTCTGGGAGTGTGCTTGACTGTGCACCCTCCTGCACGTGGGAGAGGCTGAGAGTGGGTCAGGGCTGAGCAGGCCAGGTCCATGCTCTGGAGTCTTAGGTTTCCCTGTATCTGCATTTTTTTTTCTTTTTTTGCGGTACGCGGGCCTCTCACCGTTGTGGCCTCTCCCGTTGCGGAGCACAGGCTCCGGACGCACAGGCTCAGCGGCCATGGCTCACGGGCCCAGCTGCTCCGCGGCATGTGGGATCCTCCCGGACCGGGGCACGAACACATGTCCCCTGCATCGGCAGGCGGACTCTCAACCACTGCGCCACCAGGGCAGCCCCCTGTATCTGCATTTTGAAGTCACTCTCAGTGTCCAGAAGAACTTTATAACACCCAGAACTGTCCATCTGCGGAACCGTCTGCCTTGGGTGGAAGCGAGCTCCTTGTCCTCAGGGGCTGGCTGGCCCCTCGCGAGGCCATCGGAGACGTTTCAGGGGGCTGGGACCAGGCGCCCGAGTCAGCTCCCTTCAGCCCCCCTCATCCTGTGTTTCGAAGCCTTTTCTAAAGCAGGTTCCTCTTTCTGTCTTTGGCTCTCAGGCCCGAGGGGGCAGGCGCGTCTGCCTGGCCCACAACGCGTTTGGGGGTGAGGGTGTCTACGCAGTTGCCAGGTGCTGCCTGCTGCCCCGGGCCAACTGCCGTGTCCACACGGCTCCGCCAGCTGGAGCCGGAGTGCAGACCCAGGCCCGCTGCCCCCAGCGGGGCCAAGTCCTCACAGGTAGGCGGCTGGGCCCACCCCGGGGTGAGGAGGCGTCTCTGGCTCCTGGTGCACCTGCCCCCACCCGGCTGGCCCCACGTTGGAGCCCGATGGCCTGGTGTGAAGGCCAGTGCTACCCTTCCCATCCCTGTGACCCTGGGCAAGCACCTCATCTGTCTCCGTCTCAGTCCCCTCCTCCCTAAGAGGGGCGGCGGCAGTTCCTGCTTCACTGGGTTGCTATGAAATGAGTAACACCTAGAGCACCAGGGCTGGGGCATCGTAGGCATTTCCTCACAGGCAGTGCATTGCATGAGGGGCAGTTTAGGGAGTGGATCCGAAAGTGGAGCTGACCTTGGTTTAATCCTGGCTCTGCCAGTCGTCCGCTGTGTGACCTATGCAAGTTACTTAACTTCTCTGTGCCTCAGCAATAGAATGAGGATGATGGGTGCTAAGCATTTAGCTTGGTGCTAGAACAACATAAGTGCTAGCTATCCTGGTTATCATCCATTGCTTTAGAATCCATTCTCTGATATAGGTAACTGTGGATGGGCCACCTTGTGTCAAAAACATGCCCTGGGTAGGTAGCAGGAAGTCGCAGGTAGGGACCTTGTGGGGGATCCAGGGATGGTGCCCCTCAAATCGGGAGGGGGCTGAGCTGTCCTGCTTGGAGGGTGCATGGGATGTCCTGGGGAGCGTTTGGGGAGAGGGCAGGTAGTGGGCCTGGAATAACTGGCTCAGGAGTTGATGCTTCATCGAGTATGTACTGGGGAGCCACTGAAGTTTGAGGAGGGTGACAAGGGCGAGTGACGAGTTAGGAGCTGGCTCTAGGAGGAGCAGCTGGTGATGGCTTTGCAGGGGAAAGATGAGCCCAGTCAGGTGGAGAGGCTGGGACAGGTCCAGCAGGCCACTGGACATCTTATTGGGGTCCTGGCTTGGTGGGAAGTGCACCGTGTTCTGATGGCTCTCCCCTTTGGCAACGCCCAGCAGATGAACTGCAGGGCACGTGCCAGTTCGAAGACATCGGAGTCATAGAACCCACTACCTATGAAGCACGTCCAAGAGTCCCACTTTACAGCGAAGGGAACCGCACCCTCACATGCTGAGTGACTTCCCCAAGGCCGTGCAGCTAACACACGGGCATTCCAGTGACCATGACCCTAACACGTGCAGAGCCCTTGCCCGGTGCCAGATGCTGTGCTGGGCTCTGCGTGCATGTCCTCACTTCACCCTTGCAGCCTCCCTTTTCCTTTTACAGAGGGAAACTGAGGCTTGCTATAGCCTAGGAACACTCTCTGAGGTCTTGTAGCCAGGGGGTGTGCCTGACTCCCAAGCTCTGGAGGGAGGCCCATGTCTCCCAGAGAGACATCAAGCTCACCCCTGAACTTCTGCCTGGGGGCTGGGTTATGGGGAGGAATACCATTTCCTGGTCTAGCATCTCAGGCCTTGGAGCCCCCTCCCCATGTCGGGGTGGAGAGGAGATGATGTTTTCCCTGAGACACTGAGGCCCAGAGAGGTTGTATGACTTTCCTAAGGTCACACAGCAGGCCAGCAGCAAGGTTGAGCTGAGAACCCAAGAGTCCTGTCGCTCAGGCTAGTTGTGCCTTTTTCCTACTGAGACTTGTTTCTGCGTTTCCCAGCTCCAGACTCAGACCCTAAAAAGATGGAGACTGAATGGGGTGGGGAGGAGAGACAGAGGGTCCCTTAGCATCCAGGTGTTTGAGCCGGCCCTCCTCTTCCCCAGGCTGCAGCTCCCACTGGGAGGTGGAGGACCCTGGCACCCCCAGGCGGCCTGTGCTGAGGCCACGGGGTCAGCCCGACCAGTGTGTCGGCCACAAGGAGGCCAGCATCCACGCTTCCTGCTGTCACGCGCCGGGTCTGGAGTGCAAAGTCAGGGAGCACGGGATCCCGGGCCCTGCAGAGAAGGTGAAGGGGCTCGGGGGGTCGGGACGGGAGCCGGATGCCGCGTGGGGTGGCACGTGTCCATCCTGTGCAGCTTTTCTGGGTCAGTGTTTGTGTCACCACCATACCCTCACATATCTGGGGAGTAGCTTGTGGGGTGGGTGCTGTCAGCAGCTTTTGCAGCTGTGTGGACATCACGTGTGTGTGTGTGCGTGTGTGTGTCGCTGGGCCAGTTTTTGCTTTTGTCCAGCTTAGTGAGATCTGCTGTTGGGGGATGCTTCCCTCACTTCGGAAGAATATGTGTAAATATGGCATAAGAAAAGCAGTACACACACATTCACTGATTAATCCACTTAACACATCTGCTGGGAGGATGACTCAGCCATGACCCAGAGGACGGGACACCTGAGCTGAGCGCTGCAGGTGGAGGAGAGGCTAGTGGGGCCAGCGAGGTGAGGAAGGGCTTGCAGAGAGGGAAGGCACGCTGGGGGACTGGGGCGTGAGAGGCCCTCAGAAGCTGCCAGTGCAGACCCGCCCTACGGCTTCTCTCTAAGTCTCCTTTTAAAAGCCACAGGGAGCTTCTTAAAAGGAAGCCCTGGGGAGTCCACTCTCCTGCCTCAGAGAGGTTTTTAAGAGCAAGTCTGTAGTGATTGTGGTCTGGATGCTGCATTGCTCGAGGGCAAGGGCTGTCTTGGGTCCACTTGCTCAGCCTGTATTGAGGCCTCTGGCATTCCAGGCACCATTCCAGGCGGTGGAGATACAAACCTGACAAGTTCTCCTGGGGCATCTTTTCTAGTGGGATGACAGTAAACGAATGAGTAGTATTACAGAGTACTTAGAAGATGCTGTGGAGAAAAGTAAGGCAGGGAAGAGAATGGGGAGGGGAAGTTCAGGAGAGGCCTCGCTAAGAAGGTGGGGGACAGGACAGGGAACAGTGTTCCAGGCAGAGGGAACAGCCGCGGCAAAGGAGCACCAGGAACAGCCAGAGGGCCAGTGAGGTGGGCACTGAGTGAGGGGGGGAACCAGAGACAGGGTTCAGGTGGGGCCTGAGGGCCACAGTAGGGACTTTGGTTTTTGCTCCAGTGAGCTGGGAGCCACTCAGCGTTCTGAGCCTGGGGTGGGGGGAGGGGAACGGGTATCTGACCTGGGTGTGAGCGGGTTCGTTCTGGCCGCTGTGCCATGAAGACTGCAGGGAAGGGGGCAGAAGCAGGGAGGCCTGCTGTAGGCAGATGGACAGCTACGGTGACTGTCCAGGCCCGGGGGGCGGGGGCTCGGCCAGGGCAGGAGCACGGAGGATGCTAGGGCCTGAAGGAGGAGCCCACAGACCTGAGGGACTGGACGTGGTGGGAGCAGCGGAGGGGGCAGTCCAGGCTTTGCTTTGCCGCTGGCCGGGATGGGGAGGGCTGTGGGAAGCATGGTGTCGGGGGAAGATGAGTCTGTGTTGGCACGGCAGACACCAGCCTGTGCCCTCCCGGCCTGGCTCACAGTGTGCCGGGCCATATGTGCGCTTTCTTTCATTCCCTGGCCCTGGCAGGTCACCGTGGCCTGCGAGGGAGGCTGGACGCTGACCAGCTGCGGGACCCTCCCCGGGGCCTGGCCCGCCCTGGGGGCCTACGCGGTGGACAACACGTGTGTGGTGAGAGGCCGGGACATCGGAGCAGGAGGCAGGACGGGCGAGGAGGCCACCGTAGCCATCGCCATCTGCTGCCGGAGCTGGCCCTCAGGGGAGCAGGCCTCCCAGGAGGCCCAGTGACCGCCTTGCCCGGGACGCATGCATGGGGAAGGGGCCAGGGCCTGGGGGCCGTGGTCCCAGGCCTCGGCTGGGCTTTGAAGTGGTTCCTCCTTCCCCCTTCCTCAGCCTGAGCCCCAGGGAAGAGGATACCTCTTGCTTCTGGAGCTCTCGCGCTGGCACTCGGTGTGCGCCGGCTCCCCACCTGGGAGAACCCCAGCTCTCGGCCTGGATCACCCCTTCCCAGGCCTGAGCTGCATGGGAGGCTGAGTGAGTAGGGCTGCAGGTGCCGGGCAGTCCCTCCCTCGCTGTGGGGCTGGGTCCAGATGTCACCGTTAACGCTGGTCAGGCTGTGCCCAGCTTCCTGCCAGCCGCTCCCAAGATGCCAACACTGTGGGTAGAATTACTTTTATTGAGCAGTCAGTCAGTCTTCAGACCTCCGTGCAGGAGGTGGTCATTCTCCTGTGGGTAGGCAGGGAGGCGCTTGAGGGCTGGAAGGGGCCAAATATGGGTCAGGGGAAGTGAAAGGTGGAGATGGCCCCTCATCTCCTGCCCGCTTTAGGGACGCCCTGTTGGGCTCCCGAATTAGTGGAGGATCAGTTTTCCATGCCTCTGGGGGTGCAGAGTGGCACTGACAAGGGGTGACGCTTCCCCACACGTGGCCAACATTTCAAAGTGTCCAAAGGGCTCCTCCACCCACCTTCTCACAAGAGTTTCAGAGAAGCCCTGGGGCAAAGGCAGGGCCTCTATTCATACCCATTGGATAGATGAGGATGTTGAGGCCCGAAGCACGAGCCCAGGGTCAGCTGCCAAGATGCCTTGGTTCAAGTCCTTGCTCTTTAGAGAGATCTCCATCAGTTCGGTGATCTCCACGGGCCCTCCCAGTCCTGCTGTTAAGACTCACCTCCCGAAGACAGCTTGTTGACAAAATTCCTAGCTCTTGTACCGACCAGCGGCATGACGGATGCAGCCAGATGTGTCCCAGGTGATCACGAGGCCGTGCCTTTGTTTCTCCCAGCTGCCCTCACCTGGCCTGGTCCCGGCTTTGCAGTCCACCTGGCATCAGCCTGCAGGGGGACATCACCCCAGGGATGACTCTTCAGTTCCCAGTGGAGGGCCACGTGCTCCATCCACCCTCTCACCCAGTCCTCACACCTACCCTGCACAGTACACACTGTCATCCCCACTTCAGAGGGAAACTGGGAACCAGGGGTGGGGGTTGGGTGCCCGCCATTCACACAGCCAAGAAGTGAGGTGGTACCAGGGTATAAACCCAGATATGTCCCTAAAGCCAAGGCTCTTTTTGCTGCACCAGGTTGGGCCCCCCCCATCTTTATAATAACAGAGGCTCATTAGGGAACACAGACCTGGGGTAGCCCTGTGAGCAAGGACAGAAAACTGGGCAAAAGGCACTGGCCGATTCACGGGGACCAGAGTGGAGAGGGCTTTGGAGGGATGCAGGGACGGAGGGGGAAGGGGAGAAGGGGGAGGTGCAACTCTCCCTCCTTGAGCTCCCCTACCCCCAGCCCCACCCAAGCAAACAAGCACGCATTTATCATTTTGGTCTGTTTGTCAACAACTCTCTGCTGCCTTTTTACAGCAAGCAGCTTTTCTAGATCTCTGTTTTGCTTTTGTAACTTGAAGATATTTATTCTGGGTTTTGTAGCATTTTTATTATACAGTGACTTTTTAAAATAAAAACAACTTGTCATGACTCTTGCCTGAGTTTGAGCGTCTAGGATGAGGCCTTGCTTACACCAGATGCCTGATAACCGTCTGTGGGGTGGTTGAGTAATCAAGCCTTTGAGGAGCGTCTGTATTTTGAGCACAAGTACTTGAGTACTCGTGCCCGTCCTGGGATAAAATCAGCGTCTTCCTCTCGCTTCCGAGTCCCCCCAGCAACCAGGGCTCCCCCTCCTTGGCAACTTCTGCCCCACGATGTTCTAGACGCGTGGGGCGCCCGTGTCCTTTCCATTCTCCTCTCCCAGCACCTGGCACAGGGCCTGGTGCAGTCAATGTTTATGGAATACGTTAATTATACGAGCGGCTGAGGCTTCTATAGTGAGTATCATGTCCACGGTCACTTTTCATGATTTGAAATTAAGAACAGCCTCGGGACTTTGCACCTGGCCAAGTATAACCATTCCATGCAATGCGGCCCCCCCCCGGCCCCCAGCCCCACTCTGAGGCTGGCAAGCGTAGCTGTCTTAAGCAAGGCCTAGCTCTCAACAGCCCATGTTATAAGTGATCAGGGAATCGGCCTGCAAAAGCAAAAATCCTCTCTAACTCTATTTGCTGACAATTTAGTGTCATGGAACGCGTTCAAGAGCGGCCAGCTGCTAAGGGCCTGACTGCCAGCAGGCATTTGTGTAAGTGGGCCCACTGGCACCCCTCGCCCACCACCCGAGAGTCGGGGGTCAGTTTCTTAGCTGTCCACGCCCGGATGGCTCCAAGATCTGAGAAAAGGGAATGACTGTTCTTGCAGAGGTTGGCAGCTGGTCACCGGGAGTTGGGGAGGAATGGGTGTGGACCGCAGGAGAAAAGTCTGGAGCAGCAAACACCCCAGGAGAGGGGAACCATGTGGGCAAACGCAGGACCTTAGGGGTGAGGCTGAGACCTGCGGGGTCCAGCAAGAAATCCAGCTTGACCAGGGACGTGATTTATGCTGGGGACCACTGGGAGACCTGAAAGCTATGGGGGAGATGTCTACAGGCCACTGGTCTGAGTTTAGCACATCCTTATCCAGCTTTGCAAATGAATCCTGAAATGGTCAGGGTATCCAGAGGAGGAAACAGTAAAAGGCTTAGAAAAAGAGCCACCGCCCCTCATTATTAAAGAGTGGACCTTATTCACACCGTCAGTGCAAAGTACAAAAAGGAGGGCTTCCCTGGTGGCGCAGTGGTTGAGAGTCCGCCTGCCGATGCAGGGGACACGGGTTCGTGCCCCGGTCCGGGAAGATCCCACATGCCGCGGAGTGGCTGGGCCCGTGAGCCATGGCCGCTGAGCCTGTGCGAGGCGCGCATACCGCAAAAAAAAAAAAAGAATCAGCACCATTTCCCACCAGGTCACTGGCCCTGGCACCCCTTCCCCCGACCATAGCCATTTTCTGATATTCACAGAAAAATGTCAGTGGACCCCCAACTTTGTTTTTGAAAAATTTATTTTATACCCTCAGAAGCTAAGAACTGCCACTCAGTGAACCAAATTTAGAATTAAGTTTCTTCCCTAGTTTATCTACTTCCTTTTGAAATTTTATAAACAAGATTTTGTACACAAGAGGTAGCAGAGGAAAATTCCAGTCTGCTCGTTCCAAGCTCAAAAGGTAACGGCACACGCCTCGATGTTAGCAGGGAGGGTGGAGCAAGACAGGGTGAGTCTGGTGACACGTGCTCTAGGCCCGCGTTTGTTCTGTCAGGGCCGTGTGTGGGCTCCAGGGGAAGTCACGGGCCAGGTGCCCTTCGGAAGGCTCATTTGCGTTCTCTCCCAGGACGCCTCTAAGGGGCTGATTCGGCCATCCTAAGAAGGGCCTCACGAAGGGAGCTTCTTGAGAAAACACAGCATTGAGTTGAGTTGTGCAATTCCTACTCGATTTGCAGACCATTTTGAAAGATTTATAAAAACATCTTCGTCCAAAAAATTGGCAGTAAAAATGACCCTTCTTCCAAAGTAAGCCTGTCGTAATTGTCACTTTGTTGTATGACATTAAAAAAAAGTCATCAGCAGGTTCGTAGACTGCAGCCATTGGAAATCAAGGTTACTGGCAACGTGAAAGTGATGTTCCTCGCAGCAACAACGTGAGCAAATCAACCAGGGCACCTAACATCAGCGGCAGGTGATGCTGGTCCTGAAGAACATGACCGTGACGGAGCAGGTGCTGGGGGCTGTGGAAGGCATTGTTTCCATAGGAAAGAGGGGATAGAAGTAGCAATTTCACTCCTGAATCTGGGCTCCTGAGAGTGCAGCTGCCAGCTGGCATTTCAGCGTCACGCCCTGTGGGGTCGCTTTGTGAGGATGGGGATGGAGGGGACGGCTGGGGAGATAGTAGGACATGGGATATTCATGTGCTCAAAATCCATTTTGAAACATCACACTTGAATTTGCAAGAACAGCAGAACCACATAAAATCTGCCGGCTGCCTCTGACCCTTCCTCTGGGGCGCAGCTCTGCTCTTAGGTGTCGGCCCTCCACCTCCTCAGTGTCTTTTGACAGAAGGCACCACCAGCCTGTCATGTAATCACAAACTGCAGCCTGGCTGCACCGTAACTTCAACCTTCGACCGTGAGATGACAGGGTCTGCAGTGCGCAGTGGGAGCAGCTGTCTGTCCTGTCACAGGTCCACTGAGTCTCTCTAACTCTGCAGATCTATGACTGGGGCCACTCGGCTCTTCCTGAGGCTCCCCTAGTCCTGTGCGTGCTGAGCACAGGACCAGGCAGGGCACACAACCAAAGGCAAACAGGGTTGAAAATGTGTGTAGTGACTCAAAACCCAAAACATACAAAATATATGCAATATGTTGGCATCCCCCCTCCCCTCCAGAAAAAGGGGGAGCTGGCGTCTAACCTGAAATGAATGCATGGTACAAGACTTGGGAAACACAGCTAAATGGATGGCTGCTCAGTTGCTTACTAGTTATTTCTTGTCCCCATCTTTTTAGTGTCAATTAGTTATGCTGAGGAGAAACTAAGTCTCAAATTCCTTCTCTGCATTAAAAGGTCTAGAAACTCACAAAGCAGTGTCTTTCAACTCAAATATTTAAACTTCATATACAACCAGTACCAAGGGTTTCAGTAATTATTTTTCAGCAAAAGCAAATGATTGCAGGTCACATGACTTAAGACTACAGTTTATTCAATATGTCTCCAAGCATTAAAAAGATGATTTTATGAAGTCAAACTCAATAAAATTATATCTTAAAGTGCTTTTTATTTTGCTCTTTTTAAAATTTGTTTTGGGAACAACTCGCAACTTCTTCAGTAACTGGTGTCAAAGAATGCACCCTGTACTTCTGGAGAACACAGCATTTTTTTTTTTTATTGCTCTTTCAATCTCAATTATATCAGAAAAATACCTTAAAGAGCTTAATTTCCCAATTTTTGATCCTGGTAACATTTCATCAAGATCCAAGTTTATGCGCAGAGCCCTCATCCAGACCAGCCTGAAATTCTATACAAATAGGGAGACATATTAAATACAAAGGTCTGTGTAAACTGAATTCTTTAACTACTAATGTACAGTGAAAAGGAACTTTTATCACATATCTTTACATCATTTTAAATTGGATACGCCTATTCAATGTTACTGCAAGATTAAAAATTTGCCCGCACTCATCTAAAGGCAGCTTGCTTTTTTTTTTTTAAATATAAAAACCAAAGGAATTTCTTTTGTAGCATCATAGAGAAAGCAACAGCTTTATCCTCACTCACTCTTGTTATGTTCATGTAACAAAACAGTCTACCACCGGCTTTATTTCCCAGAATCTCCACAGAAGTGTCAATCCACATACGGACTGTGCCCCCGGGGGTCAGCGGATCCACAGGCTGGAGTTCTTCGCTGCCAAACAGCTCCCAGGCCTTCCCCGGGGGCTGAAGAGTGCTTTCCTTAAAACACGGTGCTCCTCCCTTCACGGCGCAGGCTCTCCCGGTCCAGCCTCCAGGCTCTTCCAAAGGGTTCAAGGATGAGATTCTGATTTCAAAAAGGTCCTGAGCATCTAGTAACCGTGACGTGACTTCTCATCATGTGCTGGGCACATCCCCTAGGGATCGACATCGTCCAGGTCACTTCTTAACTCGCTGATCATCATGGGCGATTCAGAACCCTTTGGGAAAGGAAAAGAAGTTAAATACATAGAGTTAAGTTAGAGAAAAAAGTTTTTCTATGCCAATGGACTTGTGTTCTGCAGTTTAAACATGTCCTCATTTAACTACTTAATGTTTATCAAAGGGCAACAAAACATAACAAGTGTTAACACCTTATATTTGATAATTCCTGATTATGCAAAACTTTCATTTCTGTGTTCTTATTTAGTCACAGAAACAACCTAGTGACCTGCCTGCAGTCACAATGTGGCCTTGGGTTAAATCAAATCACTATGCTGAGTCTCAGTTTCCTTCTGTGAAATCAGGGTAACAGCGACCTCACAAGGTTGTTACGAGGATCCGAAAGATTTAGAAACAAACAAAACAGCACACAGAACATCAGCAAGATTCATTTAATGAGGCCTCTGTGCCATGCACTGTGATGGAGCTACAGGAATAGCTTTACAGAAGGTTACAGACCAGAGGGAGGACACGATACACGTCATTACATTTAAACCTGCTGCAGTATTTTGCACATAGTAGGTGTTCAATAAATATTGCATTCCTTTTTCTACTATAGCGATTAGTATTAAAAATACTTAAAAAATAAGCTTAAAATTACGCTTTGACTCCCCTAACAGATTTCAATGGCATGAGACCCTTCTTTTCAAGGGTCTGTGTTTCCAGGAAGCCTGGTGAGAGCAGGAGGAGGAAGGGGTGATTCTTCATAACCCAGCAGAACAAGGTACCATCTGGAAGGACCACATCTGCAGCCTGGCTTTATCAGACGCTCTCCAAGCTCAGCAGAACAGCCAGCAGAGACTGAGGCCAAAGCCTGGCTTAATTTCACGGTGCAGCACTGTTCTGCTTTCTAAGCACACAGTGCCTGAGTCCTGAGCAGAGATCACTAGAGGGTGGA